GAGAGAGAGAGAGAAAGAGAGAGAGAGAGAGAGAGAGAGAGAGAGAGAGTTTTGAAATTTGAGTAAAAAAATAGAAAAATAGTTTTCTGCTAACAAGATGTAAGATGTAATGTGTATAATTATTTAATAATATAATTTATATACTGTAATTATATAATTGTATTTGATATAGTGCATATGAAATAAAGTTTTGTACATTATTATAATAGTAAAGGTAAGTAAAGATCAAATTAAGCCTCAAAACATAACTTTAATTTGTGTAACTACTTAAAATGAAGCTTATTACGACCACTGTCCATATAAAAGTGAAAGTCTCATATTACACATTGAATTGATAATAGGATTTATAATAGCCGTGCATTCAATGCATGCTTTCATTCACTCCCATTGTATTGCGTTAACAATACAACCGTTTGAACGGTTTTTGTACTCATGTTTTGAGACAGTTTTCATTGTATTCATCAATAGCTCAGTATATATCTATAATAATGTTTTATTTGTATATTTTGAGTAAAATTGATGTAATCTGTGTTTAAGATCAACTTTAAAAAAATTTATATAAAATTTTAAAAATTTATATAATTGATATATAAATTATACCGTATGTAGGTTTAATAAGTATTAAGGTATTTAATATAAAACTATATGATTTTTGTTATAGCTGTATAGTTAATGTGAAAACATTGATAACTTTTTGTGAAGTTATATAATAATAAATCATTTATAATAAGAAAGTAAAATTTGTAAAGTTATGCTACATTCATATATTTAAATGAAAAATGTTTGAATACCTACTCATCCCATACGGCATATACGGCACAAACATGACAATTAAACACGTGTTCAGCGGTATTAATATATCAATATTCTCGGCACTAATCATACATTTCATAACTACTGTGAACCCCATAAACATAAACGGCATAAACATCTCAAACGTGGCAATACTGTTGCAATATATCGTATTTTTCACATCATATCTGTATATGAAATACAAATCACAAATAGTCGGAGAATTGTGTCAAGAATTGCGCGAATATTACGTGAAATACAATTTGCATTACAATAACACCGTTACTATAATCTACTGTTTATTCACCCTGGTATCCTATGTATGCCGTATGTATTACTTATTTGAAGTCGATACAGTCAAGCAAATCGTGTTCACACAATACACTATTAATTTGTTTTCCGTGTATAAGTCAATCATATATTTGTTGCCCAGTGGTTGGTATCCAATGTTAAACATATTGTCATATAATCTGCAAATAAAATACATAAATATACTGCAAATACACGCAATGAGAATGGAGTCCATAGTGGAAACCCCCGCCAATGAGTACTTATATCATATGAAACAGTGTTTAAAGCATTTCCAACAGAATATTCTTAAGGTTACTGTCGGCAGAGTTAATATATTCATATATGTGAACATGGTGCTTTATATTGGCATATATGTGCCATTGAGTTATAAGGCGTATGTTAATCAAGATATCTATGCCTGTATAGTGTTCGTGGTGATTTTGTGCCAGTTCATTGTGCCCACAATTCTGTTGAAATGTCACGTTTGGTATAAGTCGAGGGTTGAGACAAATATATCGCATAATATTGAGTTATGGGTGAAGAATATTAATGATAAACTTAATGTGAATGTGCTTGCTGAGGATGTGTTTTTATAAGCGTGGTGGTTGTATCTTTAATATTTTATAGAAAGCTTAAACACAAATATGATGTGAATACTTGTGTTAAATATATTAATAAACGTTGTGTTTATTGAATGGTTAAGTGTTTCCCAAATACACACACCATTTGTATGCAAACATGCATTACTTGGCAATTGTCATTTAATTTACATTGAATTGAAAATAATAAGTTAAAAATATTGCTTTAAATCAGAGTAGGCCAGACATTATTTATTTATGTTTTTTACAGGTAAACCATTTTAGAGTCAATCCTAATTAATGTTATATTATTTGACAATTTTTATAATCCCTTTCATTATAAGTAATTATTAATCCCTACTCATACATGTGTTATGATATTTGNTAATCCCTTTCATTATAAGTAATTATTAATCCCTACTCTTACATGTGTTATGATATTTGTGATTAGTTTTTAATAAAATGATTACAAGTACTGTAATAATGCTCACTCTTACCCACCTGAACACTTCTGCTTTAAATACATGAGTTGTTTATAGAGTACTGTATCTGACACCATGCAATTTATTTAACCAATAAGATTTATCACTCACCTGGGAAATAAAATACAAGAAACTAACATAAATCATTTAAAGAGAAATATAACCTAAATAGAAACATATAAGTTACCTTGTATGTAGGCTACCAATTTATGTAATATTTCATTTCAATTTCAATTAAATAACTTTATTTTTAGTTCATACAGTATGTCACTCACTAAAATAAATTGCATTTATCCCACATATAAATGACAATGCTTGTGCAAAAATTGTTTACTGTATAAAATACAATGGTTGAATAGACATCCTTTTCTAATACCTACAATGAAAAGGTATGTTAGTTTTGTAAAGCTTTATGTATTGATGTTTAATAAAAATATGAATATAATATATGGCAGATTAATTTAATAAATTAAATGTATAATATACTATAAACTATAGTTTAATCATTAATAACATTACTATATCTAATATATTGTTCCAGTTAATATTTTTGTTAAGTGTGTAAAATATTTTAAAATTTTAATATTAAAACTTACAATGTTTGAATATTTACTTATAATGTATGGTATTTATGGCAAAAACAATACTATCAGACACATATTTACCGGTATAACTATTACAGCATTTATTTGTGTAATTATACATTTTATAACGTGTATTAAATTATCAGACAACTATTTAATATTAATTTGTAAATTATTGTGGTTAATATAGTATCTAGTATGTTTTATATCATATTTGTTTGTTAAATATTATTCAAAATTATTGTATGAATTAAATCAAGAGTTAAATGAATATTATATCAAATACAATATAATTAATATAAATTACATAAACATTGTATATTTATTATTATTTTTAATAAGATTTATTTTGCGAACTTATATAACGTTTAATGATAATATTTATATGCTATATTACTAATTATTTATATAACTATAACAAAATATATTTTTTAGTTGGAACCAGATAGATTATGGACCACCGACCTGTAACTACAATTCATAGTGTAGTAGATTAAATATGCTGTTTATTTTAAATATACTACAAATATACTCACTAAAATTTGAATCATTAATAAAACACCCTGATAGTAAATATTTATTTGAAATAAAAGTATGCTTTAATACTTTTATAAATAATAATAAATTAAAGTCATTTATTTTGAAAATAAATATTTTTATTTACATTGCCATTGTGATTTATTTAATATTACTTGTGTTAGCTTGTTACATTTCATTTTATAGTGAAAACAGTATCTCATGTATATTATTCATGATAATAATAATTTTAATGATATTTAATCATCTTATATTTAAAATAAATTTGTATTATAAATCAAAAATTGAAACCAATATTAATAATAAACTTAATAATTGGATGATTAATATTGGCCATAATCTACCTAACCATGTGGTTTTTGAGCCATATTTTATATAACCAATATAATGATTATTATGAATATAATAAACAATGTATGTTTTATTTATTTAAAAAAAAAGTAATAACATTATTAATTAATTAATTAATACGTGTTGTTATACAAATTCATACAAATATTGTTTAAATTAATTCAAGAATTTGATAATTTAATAACATTTAATATAATACGTACATTAAATGCATATGATCACTTATTTTGTGAACTTTTTAAATTGTGAAAATACTAAAAAATGGTTTTATAAAATTAAATAAACTACATAATAAATATTATGTATAGTGTAATATATCATTTTAACACATTTTGTTCAAATTGAAGTACATCTCGACACATATAACTGAATGTCGTGTCCACTGTCCACACAGTTGTCTCATTGTATGCGTTAAAGGCCGGGGGTTTTGGATAACCTAAACACCAATCAATCATTCGTATAAACAAATGGATTGAATAATAACTACTATTCCGCCAATTCTTGTCATATATAGCGTAAAGCATATGACAGACATTAGGTCTGACCCCAAACTGTCCGTCCATTCTGTGTATGAGATGCGGCTGTTTGTTGATAACGTTGAGCACCGGGCGTTCGCCAATATTAACGTACCATTTGGTGGGATCGTAGTCCCGGAACGTCTCGTAACATAATCGCAAAAATCTGGCGTTTTTATGGCCTAATGTCACATAAATATAAGATTTAATTTAAATTACCAAGTATCATGATAATATCATATTATTATGTTAGCGCCTACCTATTAGCACTTGACTTCCCAACGTATTCTGACTCTCAAAATCAATAGTCATTTCGTATTTGAAAAACTCATTGAAAGGTTTAATGACATAAACATCTCGATC